CTTGGCAGGGTAGGCAGAGAAGGCGAGTGATCTGCTGTGCCTGTGTGCAAATGTAAAATACAAATCCCCAAATAGGATTTGCTGCTTGTAGGTTTGAGCTGTTTTGGTTAGGCATACTCTGGAGTTCCTGGATTGCGTGCACCTATGCACGCGCACAATTTAGTAATTCTTTTCCCGAGGCCAAATATTTCTACTTCAAGCTATTTTGGTACAGTGAGTAGGATGAAAATTTTCTTGATAAACCTTAAAAAGTAATTAGAAAAAAAACCTCGTGTATTCAAATACCACGCTTGAGTGTGTGACAGACTTGCTGGGTGAGTAATCTACATCAGGTATATACAGAACACGTATCACCATGGTATTGAAATACTAAATCATCGGGGTTTTAGATTCATGGACTTTGTCTGTAGGGACTATGATGTCTCGTTTTGTTCTTTACTTCTGGGGTGCCAAGCAGTCTTGCAGTGTAGATGCACACTGCTGATACACTATATTGAATACGTAAATTCTTCTAAATACATTTCACAGGGGCAATCTTAACGTGAGCATTGCTGCAGCAATGTAGAGGTATTTCTAGCTGTCACAGGCAGCAAGCCAGTCCTCTTTGCAACACAGCCTTGCAAGTGGCCTTTAATGGATTTCTGCACTTGCACAGAGCCTTCCTGGTTGCAGTAGGGGGAACCTAGCTGTACGTATTCATTGCAGGATCAAGGCATATAGCTATGTGATATATAGACACCTCCCCTCGCTCCCGGAAGCAAATCTGATAGGGTCTACAATGGAACGATTAATAAGTCTTTTCTTCTCTAGAAATCTAAACGCACAGCTGTGATACTTCATGTTGTAACTAATGTATGCATCCCATAATTATGTCTTGGTATGATAATGTCTTAATTTCTTTTAAATAAATTGCCTCCCCAGGAAAAGCTGTTATACTGAGAAGGAGCTTCATTTGTCATTTACAAATAAATGAATTTTGTAACAGCTTGAATGCCTTATGTCGAGCTGCCTATTTCTGATTTAATGAATAATGGAAGAATTGGAGGACACTTCATGGCGTCGTGGTTGTTGGGTTTTTTTAATTGCATAATTTGATCAACCTTGTAATAGATTTTAATAACTATGAAGTCTGAGGCAAGCTCCTGTTGCCCAAATCAGTATCCTACACCTTGTGAAACAAATAGGTGTGATCCACACTTCCTCAATCCTGTTGACTGAGGCATATGTAGAAAATCATGAAGATCCCTTCCATTTGCAAAAAACTGGGTGTTTTTGTACAGAAACCAGATTCTGAGCACCAGAAGGCAGTTGTCAAAAATACCATCTTGCTCAGCTGCTGTAAGCTGGCCCAGTTCCTCTCCCCCGGCTTGGATCCTCATGAAATGAAAGCAATACAGTTACTTCTCGCCCGGCTATGGTTCTAACCAGATATGTAGCTATGCTGATTATCACTACTTCAGTGTGCATGGTTTTGATTGCCTTATCGCCTTAGGAAAATAATGCCCCAAGTATGTTAGTTATTTTTGTTACTGAATTCGGAGCTGCTGTAGTGTAGAAGCAGTAGCATCCAAATGATCTCCTCTGCTATAATTATGTATAATAGGTGGCAGCCTAGTACTCCTCACTGCAAAAGGAAATTTTTTCAGAAATTGGCTACTTAGTGCTATGAAAACATTCCTTAGCAAAGAGGCAATTTTCTTTTTAAAGGACTGTGTGCAGTCTCACCACAAATTAGCTACATAAGGTAACCACAATATTCACCAAGTAAAAACAGTGTTTGTTTTGCGTACAGATGCTCAGGGGTGTCCTTTTTTGTCGAAATGATGGCTGCAGGACTAGTGATTGTATGGGCTCTTTTTTTGGTGTGTGTGGTTGTTTTTTTTCCTTAGTTTTGGTCTGGTCTTATTTATAAAGTGGGAGCAGATCTGCCAAGTTGACTGCGTTCCTTCCTATTCCTTTCACTGAGGTGGTGCGATAATGTGAAGCTTTTAATTGGCTTGTAACTTGGGACTCTGCTACATGTGTGTTTAAATCCTTTTGCTCACTGAACCGGTAATAAGCTTCCTAAATTGTTCTGCTCGCTCAATTCTCACAGCTGACAAGAAGAGCCTGCAGCGCCCGCAGCCTGCCCGCGAGGACCCCGAGCCATTCCCCTCTCCCGCTCCCATTTATCAGTGGGAAGTTTTTTTACATCTTTACAAAGCTTTTGTACTCAAGCAGGCCTGTCGCCCTTAGTTTCTGAGCACTGTGTTGAAGTGGCTGTGGTACCCAAAGACTTACTTTGAAAAGTGGTGTATCAAACAGAAATTGTGGTTGTTTTGTCTGTGTAGCATGACAAGATGTTTAAAAGGTGGCAATAAGTCTTTAAAGCTTTAAAGCAGAGAGATTTGTCTAAGGACTCAGAAATGGTAGCTTTACAGAATTAAATGTCTTTGCAGACAAATATGTCTGGGGTGAAAAAGGGAAGAAATGTTCCCTTAAAGGGGGTTAAGCCAAAACAGCTTTAGCCAAGGATGAGAAAGTGTGCTGATTTTTCCAGTATTTCTTACGTTATAAACTTCCTGGTTTGTTATTGTTCAAGTATTTCTGAATTATGTCATATTTTCTATTTATAATAGAAATTGTTATCAGTGATTTTTTCCTATTAAAAGAACACTTCAGAAAAAATACATATTGGAATTGTTGATTGTATAAGTAGTAACAAATTGAAAATTCTTCTGTCAGTGGAGGCGATGAGCAAACTTGGGAGGATCCAATTGAAGATGAGGTTATATTTCTTGCACTTTAAAAAAAAATAAAATCTGTCATCTGCACCTTTCTGCCTCTCATGGAAAACATAAAAACAGATGGAGTTAGAATTCTGAGTAGTGCCACAAGTTAAGCCAACTTTAGTCATAACAAAAAGGATGCCCAGTACATCATCTGCATATATCAGACATACCACTGTGGAAGGACTTAATCATGCACTTGGATCCTTGAATCCTTTTAGATAAAAACGTACTGACATGGTTATCGTTTGGGTCAGGTCATTGCAAGGATATTCACATATGCCCGAATACTTATGAAATAGAAGTTATCTGAATGTTAGGGGGTGTGTTAAGTTTAAGAACTAATCAGAATTACTTTGTAAAAAGTATGTTAGACAGTTTATACTAACATTCAGACTTTGCTTTAAGGCGGTTTTGGTGTACTGACATTGCTTTCAAAATTTTTTAACTTCAGTTTTACACATTTCTTGAACCTTAAGCAGTCAAATATCGATGCTTATATACATCTGAAGTGTAAGGCAAGGCTTACAGGAAACATTTCAAGTTAAATTTCACTTGTTCTTCTGATTGCCACATTCCCTTTTGCCAAACTCTCAGTTGATCTTGTAGAGATGGTATTAATATTCTCCCTTAATAGCTTTAGCTATTATAGCTACAAGAGAACTATTTATTGAAGAGTAATCAACTTGCCATACCAACTTAATGTTCTTTCAAGTATCCTCCTATATGCGTTTTGATTAAGATAGAAGCTGATAGTTTAAAAATGGAAGTATACATGTATTTTAGAATCAAGTAGAACTTGATTTTATGGAAGTGGGATATTGAAATATTGCTGTGTACTTTTTGTATAGGAAATCATGTTGCCTAGAATTTCAGGGCATAAAATTCATCAGATGGCTTCTAAAACCATCTGAAATGGTTTTAGAAAAACCATTTAGAAAAACCATCTGAAATGGTTTTTTAAATCTCTGTGTGATTTAAGATCAGTTTGGGTTTTAATTTTGTTAGCTGAATAATAATCACTTGTTGAAGTTTGAATGATGGGGAAGAACATGGGGTGGTAACAGAGAAGATGAATAATGATGCAGGAGAGATGCATGTTTAAAAAAAAAATCGGAGGAAAGCAAGTAGAAAGCTGGAGTAATTTTTAAACTTACGGTGAGAAAAACAGGTTGTCACTAGAGGATTTACATGCCATCTCTAAATTTAGGCTATTTTTATTGAATATTTTATTATTAAAATAGTGCTGAAAGTTGTATATTGACATCTTGATACTGATTAAGAACTGGCATATAACTTTTTCATCAAATATTTCTGGACTAACTTAGCTAAAAAAGAAAAATAGACCTGTTTTCCCAGTGAATTGAGTACAAAACATTTCTGATTCTTGTCAGAAAGCACCTAGATAAAGTTCTATAAAATGTAAGCTTTGAAATATTTATATTTTAATAATGTAAAATTCATTTGTTTTCATTGATTGTCTTTTTCTTCTATTGGAAATTGGAGGAACTCTTACTGTAAGGTATATTGGAGGAAATGATGCTTTATAACCTTGAAACTCTCTTTTAAATAGAATTGACAAAAGTACTAGTCTAGTCAGCTACTGTAAGGAAACAAGTGCTCTTTTCTACTGTGATTTTAAGTCTGTCCTGCCTTAATGATTTTAAAAAAATTGAACAGTGTGTTTTTCTGGTGCATTACAACTGTGCCAAAATATGAGAGATTTGGACTTCTTGTAATTCGCAGAATTGCCTCAAATTATTTCAGTGCGCTTGGCTGGGCTGCTCTCTCATGCTTACAGTACTCCAGGACCCAGCTTCAGGTCTGTGCCTGTAGCTTCAGGAGGAGAACCGCATTTGCCTCTCGTTTGTGCCTCTTCCATCCACGCTGCAGCCTGGCCCTTTGCTCGCCTCTTTCCTCTGTCCCGCTGGGAAGAATCAGTCTTTGGGGTCATGCAGCGGCAGCACAAGACACTGGGTTTTATTTTCCTATTCTTTCTTTTGGAGACCAGGCATTTAATCTGGGGAAGAGAAGGCTTGGGGGGGACCTCATCACCGTATTCCAGTACTTAAAGGCTGGCTACAAAGAGGATGGAAGCTTTGTCTTCACAAGGAGCTGCATGGAGAGGGCAAGGGGCAATAGGTACAAGTTGTACTGGAAGAGGTTTCATCTTGATAAAAGAAATTTTTTTACAGTGAGAACAGTAATCACTGGAACAGCCTCCCGAGGGACATGGTGGAGTCCCCATCACTGGTGGTTTTCAAGATGCGACTGGACAGGGTGCTAGATAATCCCATCTGGGCTCCCTTTCCCATGAAAGGTTAGACCAGACAGACGATCTTTCGAGGTCCTTTCCAGCCTAGGCTGTGCTGTGGTTCTGTGACCCTACAGCCCTGCCCTCCTCTACAGAGGACAAACTTTAGAAACCGACCAGCAAATTACATATTCACAGTACCAAAACTGAAGTTTTGGAGTAAGACCTAATGTGTGATTTCTGTAAGGAAAGCCTGTATATAGTTGCTCTGTGTGGCCTAGAGCCGCCCTGGGCCAGGAGCGCCTGCCACATGGCTGGGCTTGCTGGAGCAGGCTGGGGTGGGGGGTTGCTGCAGCCAGCAAAGCCCGTGGAAGTGTCCAAACCGCCTTCCCCTGTGAATGGGGTGGCTGGGTGCCAGGGAGAGACTTTACTTCATGGTCCTGGGGAAAGATGCCTGTTTTCTGGCTGAGGGCTTCTCAAGCTCCCCGAAACAGTGAGCGTGCGTGGGGTGTGTGGGTTTGCTTGCAGCTAGTGTGCTGGGATGTGCCGGCTGCCTCTGGCAGCAGGAGAGGGTCCGAGGAAGTCAGGTGAGCCCCTGCGGTGCCTCGGGGGCTTCCTGAGGCAGTTTGCAAACCAGGGGAGAAGATGCAGTGGTGGGGTGCAAGGCAGTTGTGCTGGAAGCTGCAGGAACGAAGTGCGTCGAATGTGGCAGAAGGCTTTTTGTTTGAGGTATCAGGTTTCATAAATCCGTGTGAGCTCTTCCCTCTCCTCAAAACCTGACACCTCACCAGGAGAGGAAAGAGCTCACAGGGATTTATGCTGAGAAGTGGGAAGGTATGGGGCGTGCCAGAGAAGGGGCATACATGCATAGGCAGGGCGCCATTTTTGATGGAACCTGAATTATTTCAAAAAAGAAGGGAGGGGCAGGGAGAAGACTCCTTTATCCATTCTTGTTCTCTTTTTAATAAAAAGAGTGAGAAAAACTGCATAAAATGAGGAGAAACAGCAGAGCTCAGGATACTGGTACTCTCTACAGCCAAATTCCACTAAGGTAGAAACAGGTGATGATCCTAATCACACTGAAGTGTTGTCTTGGCAGCATTGTGTATATACCTGTATTTCTCAGGTGTATATAAATACAACTTGTTTTCTTTGCTAAATAAAATCTAAAAATAAACACTGGGTAACACTCACCACCACTGAAGCTTAATGTGTATATTGTCCTTTACACCACAAAATTCTTAATGTGGCTATAACATGCTTGGTGCTGCCCATTCGGGCAAATCCCAGTCCTGTGTGGACAGCTGCTGGGGCACTGCTGTGCTGGGGAAGGAGGTTTGGGCGTGATCATTTCTGGTCTGCCTTCCATGTGGAGGTTGTGGCAATGGTTTTTCTGTTGATCTATCAGATAACCTTGTAAATTGGTGAGCATCCTGGCTTGGAAATAGTGTTAAGAGCGGGAAAGTTAAATAAGCCTGCCATGTGAACACCAGTGAATAAACAAACACAAGAGGTGTTTTAAAAGATAAATGTTCAGAGTGCTACAATTTATTGCTCTTGCTTGTGAAAACTGCAACACATTTCTATGTTTTGTTTTTCAATTTCTGTCCTGTAGATAGAATAGATCTATCTACACATGCATAAATAAAATCTTTTTCTAAATCTTACTATTTACTCTTAATCTCATAAATCAGTCTAAAATGGCTGAGACAAAAAAATAAATGTCAGAGCTAATCCAGTCGTTGGCCGTTCATGACAACGCTTCCAATTGAACTCTTTGCCAGCAAGAAAAGTAATCTTGAAATACTGATGTGCTCACTGTGTAAAGTATATATATTTTTGCCTAGAAAAACAATATTTACAGAATGCTACTCACTGGTTCTTCTGTAGAAGTTAGCTTTGTATAAATCGTGGTAATCGACCTTTTAATTTTTTCATAGGGTTAAAAGATGGAAAGCGCTTAGAAAAAGCCCGCATCCACTTCCAGTGAGAGGAAGGAAGCTCAGTTGCTGGTATCGCTAGCTGGAGGTGTCTTTGTCAAAAGTAATTTTGAAAGTGGAACTGAATGGCCTATATACATACACTTTTTATATTTCTGAGAGGAGGGAAACAGATATGATCTCTTCAAATAGTGTTTAGGAATGTTGTCTTTGAGATGATGATGTCTACTTAAGTAGTTGTCAAAAACATCCTTGAGAGGCAACGAGGCTGGTGAGGGGTCTGGAGGACAAGTCTTATGAGGAGCAGCTGAGGGAACTGGGGTTGTTTAGCCTGGAGAAAAGGAGGCTGAGGGGAGACCTCATCGCTCTCTACAACTACCTGAAAGGAGGCTGTAGCGAGGTGGGTGTTGGTCTCTTCTCCCAAGTAACTAGTGATAGGACGAGAGGAAATGGCCTCAAGTTGCGCCAGGGGAGGTTTAGATTGGACGTGAGGAAAGATTTCTTTACTGAAGGAGTGGTTAAACATTGGAACAGGCTGCCCAGGGAAGTGGTTGAGTCCCCATCCCTGGAAGTATTTAAAAGACAGGTAGATGAGGCGCTTAGGGACATGGTTTAGTGGGCATGGTGGTGTTGGGTTGACGGTTGGACTCGATGATCTTAGAGGTCTCTTCCAACCTTAATGATTCTATGAGAGCTCCTCTTCAACATGGAGAAGGGAACGGTTGTGGCTTCAGTCTGCTGCAGTGGCTGTTATGAACAAGACTTCTTCGGAAGCTGTACTTTACTTTTTATTTCAAAAAAAACCCTACAGAATGTTTTCTGAAAATAACTTTTAGCACTAGCTTTGGTATTACAGTTGAAAAGAAGAATGATTTTCTTTCCCTGCTGTTGTTTTTCTCAGCTGCACTATGCAGGATATTGTCTCCCATCTGGGTAGATCTACATGGTATTAATAATTAGAGTTGTTTGCAAAGCAGGCTGACTTTATTTTCATCTTGAATACTTCCTATTCTCAAACTGAAACTTCTGAAACTTCCTCCTGGGTCTACCTTTATCAATTTCAGAACTTGCCGTAGTTGTGTTGCCTGTATGTATGGGGTCTTCTTGTTTTGGTTGTGTTTTTTTTTTTTTTTTAAATATGTGAACCTTCTTTAACTGGGCTTTGATAGACACATCACCTTGGACTTTTTGAGCTGCAGGTTTTAATAGGCAAGTAGCCCTGATCTTTTAGCTGAACTGCCCTGATGGATTACATAGGGTAGGAGTCTGCCCTTCAGCAAGTGTGTGGGACACCCTTCCTCTTAAGACTTGCTTTTTAAGGTGGCAAAATAAAAATACTTTGATTTCAGCACTCAAAACCTGGTGACTCTCCTTGACACTCCAACCTTTAGTCTGGGGAAATGTTCATGAGCAGTACATCCTAAAACTTAAGAAGAAGAGAGGTTAATATGGGGGGAGGGGGGAACCCAGAACACTGCTGTGTAGGTATCTAACGTTTTCTTTCCCCTGAAGTCGTCTTTATCTGATCACTTTTCACTCGTTAGGAGGAGCGGCTGCTGGCTTCTTGGGGTGTGCATTATAGAGCAGAACAGCTTTTCCTTCCCTTGTGTTAGCAGTTGGTGGCCCGTGTGCAGTGAGCAAATGGATGGTTTGCTGGCTTCTGGTTACTTGTGCACCAGCAGCCATTTCTGCGGGTTAACCGAATCGTTTATTTATGAACGTCTTTTATGTATAAAGCATTTGGCCCATCACGATCATAGACTTGGGTAGTGGTCATGTGTGGCTTATTATTATTAAAATAGAAGAACAACATAATACCAGTGTTGAACACTTTAATTTTTTTCAGAAGTACTTCACGCTTTATAAGCCTCTATTTAAAAAAAAAAAAGGAAAAGTAAACATCACTACCAAGTGTGTTTTGTTGTAATCTGATTCACATAAAAGTTGGGCTTGAGGAGACATCTGTGTTTAAAAATGTCTGAAACCTGGTATGCTATTTGCTATTGACATAGCTATTATTTTACTCAGTTGTCATCTAGTAGATGGACTAGTAGGATAACACCCTATTACTGTGGCTTTTTGTTGTTGTTTTATGTGGTGAAAAAATCATCGTCTTTGATGTCAGTTAGTGATTCCTGGAAGCCAGAAGTGGAAAAGAGCGTGCAAGTTTTTGTTGCAGTAAAAGGGATGAGAAATAAAAAGGAGCCTGGGAGAAAGACTGTGCTTACTTGTTCTCTGCCTTTACAGGGCCATTCAGCTATAGTGTGCAGCCTGTGCCCTCCATATAAAATGAAGTAGCTCCTGTGCTGCAGGTAACGAGATATGGAGTTAAGGACTTTGATGGTTCTCCCACGTGAAACAACAGAGTAACTCAGTTTTCTGTGTTGGAAATAGTGTGGTACATTGCCATGCCCTCTCCCCTCAGCACTGTCCTGCAGGGCTCGGGCATGGTGGGCACAGCACGGTGCTGGTAGTGGGGTCCATTGACGGTCCCACACTGGCAGGGTGATCAGTTGGGTCCGGGGGTCCCAGCTGGGAAGAGCAGGAGTTGCACTGGAGATGGGACTACCTGAGACATAGGCCAGGGCCCAGCCCAGAGGTGGGCTGCAGCCGGCCTGCAACCTCAGTTGGGATCCATCCATATGGCATTGGTCCCTTCTCTGTGCCAGAGGTGTCTTCAAGGGGGCAGCGTCCTGCGTCAAAACCTCTCTTAATAAATGAGTTGACTGGTGAAACAGAAAGGACAGATGGGTGCAAGGTAATTTCAGCGTTCACCCAAAACTCTCGTGCTGTCCAGTAGACCTGTCACTATGTGGGCAATAAGGGTTGCCCACATAGTGACATGGCTTGGCTTCTGGGGGGAACTACCAAGGTCTTCAAGTAGTGTGTTTTGGTTTTTGTTTTGCTTGCAAATTCCTTTGGATTGACCCTTTCTGTTGTCCTGTGTCTGTGCAGTTTGTAAACAGGATAAATTCTTAATTAAGGGGTTTCAGAGTAATGTTTAATACCTTTAGCAGTGTTGTGGTTTAACCCCAGCCAGCAACTGAGCACCACACAGCTGCTCACTCACTTCCCCCTCGTGGGATAGGGGAGAGAATTGGAAGAGTAAAAGTGGGAAAACTCATG